TCTTCAAAAAGAAAACTCAAACCCTCAGTGAGTGACTTGCTAAGAGCAGATGTGGCATGTTCCACAGGTGGCTTGTCACATGGGTTTTTTGCCCTGCAGTATCTAATAGACAATGCAAAGGAGATCATTCATCTTAATTCTAATAAGACTTTAGGAGACCTAGATATTGAAAATATGAGATTTGGCATTAAAAGTCACCTGGAAATAACCAGTATTATAAAGCTGCCTCACATATGTAATTTCAAAAATAAAATTCCCACCAGCTAGGAAGTTAAAATACAAGACAAACGAGGTGAGGGTAGACAAGAACTAAAAATATTTTCCTTCTTCATTTTTAATGTGTTTGCATCACACGTAGCCAATCATTTTCTCTTAGGTCACAAATTTTCTCCGGATACACAAATTGCTGAGCAGCATGGCATCACCCTTACAAAGAGCAAGCTTCCCTGTTCACATTTAGTGAATATGATCTTCATATTCTAGTGAATTTAAATAAAACCGTATCCATAAATTAAAATTCTTTGAGTTCATTCGTCACAAACATTGCAAGTGTGAGTTGCCCATCACTTTGTGTCTTCCGTATTGAACTGCTTTATGGAAAATTAAGGTAAAACAGGAATGTCCTGTGGCAGAAGAAGGAGTACTTATGGCCAGTCCAGGCTCCTCTCGTGCAGGGCTGGGTACCTGAGGAGCCGCTTTGCAGGCGGCCGTGAAGCCGCGGGCGCTGTGCTCCCTGCCCGGCCATTCCAGCGGGCTGGGGCCATGCCAAGGCGCGGTGCCATGTTGGGTGCCGCGGGCCGGGAGCCGCTCCGCGCTGCCAGCGCTAGAGGGCACTCCGGGATCGGGAGCCTCCTTCCCACCGGGACAGCCCTGGCGTGCCGAGAGCAATCCCCTCTGCTCGGAATAAGGGACGGGGAGGGGTGTTATGGTGCCAGTGAGGAGGTGAGCAGGTGACGCTGCAGCACTGCCAGCAGAGAGAAACAACAGTCACCTCAGGGGTGGGTGAAGCACAGAAGCAATGTGGCTCTTCCCAAAGGAATGGTCAGTGTAGCGCCTCTCTCTCACTGTGCTGGGTCTCTTTCCTCGTGGGGTAGTAAGTATTGCTTTGGCTTTGTCTTCAAAACTCTGGTCTTAAAAAAGCTCAGATTGTAACGAGTCACCCATCTTGCAGAAAATGCCACCCCTTCGTGAATGAACATCTCCACCTCCTCCCCAGCAAGGCAGGGAGAACAGCACATTTCCAGAGGTCTGCTTTTCCCCAGATGCTGATGAGAAAGCCATTTAAGATGTGTACAGCTACTGAGCTAAAATAGGAAGGAGGAGAGAGGGCTACTCGACCAGACAGTCACTGTCCAGTAGGAAGAAAGCCCTCACTGAGGTTCAAAAGACAGCCCATGGCTAGAACGTGAGAGGAGCCCATTCCTAGGAAGCTGCACTGTTGCTAGTAAGCTCCCCTTTCTGTGATGGGAGATTTAAACGGACCTTAAACCATCTCCAGCTGTGCTTTAGGAAGTTTAGCCTTAGTCTCAATTATGTTAATTCTAAAATATTCCCTTCATGACTAATTCATATTTTTCCTTGATTTTTAATCTAATTTGCTGCAGGCTAATCCCTTTAGTTTTTGGCCTGTTGACAAATGAAAATTACTAGTCCCTGTACGCCTGCTCCTTCTCTCTGTGAATCTATGGACACTTATTATCTCTTTCAGGTATTTTTTGTTTCTTCAACAACTCTTAGAGCATTAAAACATCTGCTACTCTTCTCCTTCCTAGTTAAAAGAGAAGATTCCAGGTGTGCAGAGATGACTGAAGAAGACACTATCAGCAAGTTTTTGGTAAATGCTACATTCCTCATACATCTATCTGGATAAAATTCTTTTGTGTCTAAGTACCTTTAATTACCACCTATAGGCTCTTACTGAAATACTTCTCCCTGGAGTGTTTTCCTCCTTGCTCTTCTGGGTAATATATCAGGGTTACTTCTTCACTGCTTCTGTTGGCTTTAGTTGAACAGCTATTACATATTTCATTAATATTTTAGGTAATGCATAATATAAACCTAATGCTTAATATGACCCTTTCAAATGGCAGTAGGTTTGGTTTTGATCCTAGGCTATAATATTCCACAGATCCGCTACAGAGAGTTTTGCAGTGATTGATATATGGAAATTTGCTCAACAAAAACTGCCATGCTATAGCCACCAAGTTTCTGTTGCCTAAGAAGACAGTATCTATTTGGCATCCTAAAGCAAGGTCTGTATTCTTTTCTTTTGTTTAGAAAATACTCTGAAAATTCAGACTGCAAAAAAAGATGGCTCAGTAGTTTTTGCAGCAAGTGGGATGACAGTCCAAATTCCAGACCAAGTTTTCACAGGCAGCCTTGGGGAGCTATTTTACCCAACCTGCATCTCTCAATTTCACTTCTATAAACTGAAGATAATGTTCCTTTCCCGCCTGGGAAATGCACTGATACTAGTGAGATATTTGGATGCTATAAAAGAAGACCTAGGCAAAGCTTGTGCACAGTCAAATTATAAAAGTCCTAAAAGATAAACAAAATAAATCAGACTTAATATTCTTTGGCTTTTGTTTACCTACCTTCAACACTAGAATTTCCCTGGACTCATTGCTATTCCCTTGTGTTGTCTTCATAAATGAGGGCTTGAGCTGGCCAGATCACTTAAACTCAGGCAAAGCTTTTTCCATGAGCTGTCTCGTTGTGGCAGCTGGTTTAGGTACTCCAGCCATATCAGTGGCTGGAACAAACTAAAGAGTTCCTTGGGACGTGGATTTCTTTTTGGTTTGGAGGAACACGCACTAAGCAACATATAATCAAATGCAACAAAACTTTTAACCTGTTTTGGCCACACTTTAAAGAAGAAATCATTTGGAGACTAAAATAGAGAATGAGAAACTTCATCTCAACAGGCTGATTTTTGTAATAAAAAACATTCTGCCTCGCAGAAGGAGAAGAGGAGAGGCATTCCCACCTGCTGCATATGGTGGCTGCCTGTGTCCTCTAAGGCAATGATCCATCCCACAGGCCAAATTCTTCCAACCTTGGTCTTGCAGGCACCCCCCGCATGAAAGTGCCCAGTGCTGCATCATATCTTCTTTAAATGAAAAATTGTTAATTTAAGTATGCTACAGGGAAATACACAAAGCCATCAGAGAAAAAGGAAATCCTACAAGCTGAGCTTAATCTCTAAGCCCTTTTTGCACAGAATTACTTAAACACATGACTCCAAGGTTTTTCAGATAACTGTGAAGCATTCAAGCAATATAAGGCAAGTTCAGAAAGTAATGGACACACTGCTCATGCCCTGCACAGTCCCAGTGAGTGTGCACAGGGAATGTGAGGGTCTTCCTGTGAATATGTGTACACTGTGAATGCACAGGTCTGCCAGGTAGAATACCTGCTACTTGCAAAATTGTGCTCATGTATGCCAAAGGGCTGTGTCACAGGGCTGAAAACGCCAGGTAAAATAAGCATTTCCTCAGAGTCTTCCTCCCATTTTTTTCAAGGGAGAAGAAATAATATTCAGGAGAAAATGTGCATATATCAACCCCAGTTATCAAATATTTTATTTTGATTTCTTCAACTCCCTGGGCAGCAGCCATCTCTGTTACTACACTGAACTGGACGGAATTGCTCACTATTGGCATGTAAATAGGTCTCTGCAGAATTCTGAGCCTGCTTTATGATTAAACTTTACTGCCAATGGCAATAAAGATGTAATTAGCATTATTGTAATAATGACATCAGCTTTTGTCTTGTTCTTTCCCAGTCAGGAATTAGAAAAAGAAAATAAAATGGTGTCAGTCTGCATGAGAATAGTGCTGGACCTGCAGTTATACAGAGCACTGCAAGCATCTTGTTAGTGCAAACAAGAGCAACTCACCATAAAATTAAGGGAACAAACACTATCCACTCAACAGCATAGAACACAATGTTGTTCTTTATTATATTATTTAAAAGGGGCAGATTTACTCGGTCATAAATTAATAATTCAGAAGGTATAAGAAGGCACAGCCAATTAGCTGCAGTAATTTGCATTTTTATGCTCCTTCATTAGTTTCCTAAGGTTCTTCTCTCCTGTTATAGCAATGCAAATGCCATCTTCCAAAAGGTGAATAGCCAACCTGTTTTTTGTTTGCATGATAATGAAGCCTTTTCAATTATTGAAAGACCAAACAATTTAATAATTTTAAGACAATTTTTGTTGCTATAATATCTCTTATTTGAGAGGGTTTTTTTCAAGAAATATGCTTTTTAAATGTAATTTATTTTAACGTGAAGCAAGGAGTTTATCAGGTGGCTGATCTTCCAAGGTTCCTAAAATGATGCCTAACTTTAATCACTTAAGTAAATCTCTCAAAGCAAGGTATTAAAATCCTTTCTTAATTTAGAGGCTGACAAATAACTCAGGGTATGATGTCTTTGTTTGCAGCATAGAGTCTCTTTATCCTCTATGCATATATTAAGAAGGGCTTAATATATGAATTTGACTGTTAGGTGAACTTCCCTTTCTTATGCCCATGCCCCAAATATTTGCTGGCACAAGTACCTTCAAAAGCTTCCTGCAGCTTGCCCCAGGGATTTCCCTTTTGGTCATTACTATCTATGGGCACAGTCTTGCTAAAGTTGACGTCCTTAGCTTCTGAGAAATACTCCTGAGGCCAGCAAGGTTAAAGTCCTCCTGCAGTCCTAACTGGAGTGCTGGTCACCAGAGTGCTGCAGGGCAGCTGTGCTCGCTTGGTCTCTGCCTTCCCCTGCAGGGCACCAGCAAATCCCACTGGCTTCCCAGAGAGCTGCTCCTAACCTGCAGCTGGCCTGACACGTACTTATTTTTCCATTTTTACTCTGGTATTTTCCTTTCCAAATGCTTTCCATGTGAGGCCATTTCATTTTCTTTTTATAATTATTTTATTTTTAATACAGCCCCTCATTCCAGATGTAGATAGTACATACACACACTCAAACACATGTAAAAGGGAAGTAATGCTGAGGCTGCACCTTTATAGAAATGTATCTGAGGCAGAAGGTAGCCCAGGAGAACTGTATAGATATTTCAGAAGGCCAGTGGATACTAATCTCAGGAAAAAAAAAAAAGAAAAAAGAAAAAAAAAAGTGGTGGGGTGGAATTAAAATCTGGAGAATTAAACAAAGATATGATGTGTTTTCTGAGGGAAACTCTGAAGGGACTTGGGGGTTCAGCTACCATGAATGCTCTCTGTTGGCTGAAGAAGACAGGAAACCTGCTCTTCTCCATTTACATGCACAGAATTCTTGTCTTCTGGGATGTCGGTCTTTCTAGGGGCAACCTGCAGCAGTTCTTTCTACCAAGGAACATGGCACCACTCCCTAGCCCACTGAAATCCACTCCATACTGTTCTCTAGTCGCTTCAGCCTTTCTTTCTTTTGGCAGAGGTGCTGTTCACAAACTGTATAGATCATCTTGGAAATTTTTGCCAGCAAAGAACATACAGGAAGGCACAGTTTTTGTCATTTCACTGATAGTGCAGACAGCATGCCTGCAACACAGACCAAGTGACTGACCATACAAGAAGCAGGGTGTGTTGGTGTGTTATAGCAGGCTTTCTTCCTTTTTTTATTAACTCCTTGGTGAAGGCTACATGTGAAGGCCAGGCTCTGAATCACTTCAAGCAGGAAGGGCAGGGTGGCAGAGGCTGAATCAGCTCCAATGCTCAAAGGCCAGTGACATTATTCCAGTGGGTATAATGAGGTGAAACTGGCGCCAGCAGGTGCAACGAGAAAGAAGAAACAAAATGGCTTGAGGTAATATGTAATTTAAAGTAGAACTGGCCAAAAATAAAACAACCAAAACTTTGCAAACTATACAAATAAAGAAATCTGAAACTACAGAGAAGATTTCCTAACATCATAGCAGTGGCAGCAGTCTCTATCTATGCCCTCACTGCAGCCCCTTCATTACCTCCTCCCCTTGTCCCCAAGCCCAGCCCTAGCTCATGTCCTGCATGACCCCATGCAAGGGCACAGGGGTGGCCCACGGGCAGGCTGGGGCTGTGGGCTGTATTCCACAGCAGGACAGAGCCTCCTCACTTGCAGAATTAACCTCTAGAGCTGCAGTGCTTTGTGATTTCCTCTTCGTATGTGGACAGAAATAGGGGTCTCTGAACATGGTTATTTGGAGACAAAAGACCAGATTTGTGATCCAGGTGTATTTCTGTTCTTTATGTCAATCAGAAAAATCAGTCATTTATTACTCAGTGGAGAACTTCAAGATTTCATATCTTATATGTCTGCTATTGAGCTCATAAATTAAAATTATTTGCAAAGTACATTTTCTAAAAGACATCACTAAGACCTTATTGCAGATGATATCAACAGAATAAAATGGTCATTTCATTTTTTGTGAAATATATTAATATCAGAAGGGTTCTATTGATTATTTAATGTGACTTATACATAGCAACAAAATAACACGATCATTTCATTTTTTTTGTGAAATATATTAATATCAGAAGGGTTCTATTGATTATTTAATGTGACTTATATCACATGTTTTCAGGACTCCCCTAAATAAATTTCTGTATCCAGACCAATAGTGCAGCTAAGCCAGAATAGAAATTTATCATGGTTTCCAATTTTCTCTACAGACAAAATCCACTGCAGGCTACAGTAAGTTTTTCCAGTGGTCAGTTCCCTTCTCTGAGGTAAATTACTTCAAGGCTAAATTTTTCTAATTCCAGTCAATGGATTTGCTAGTCTTTTCCAGAGAAATTGGAGATGCCTTTGTACCATTTTTCTGTTCTTTAGAAAGTCAAGACTTTGAACAGTAGTCTCTCATTTTCAGGATATTTTCCAGTCCTTTAAGCTCAACCAGAGTTGCCATCAAACCCTTCTTTCAAAAGAAAACCAAATAAATAATAATGATCAAAAAAAAGAAATTAGAAAGAAGAGGAAAATCCTTTTCCACAGGGCAGGAGGAGCAGTGATGTAGCGTGGTGGCAGGCTGCTGGCCCCAGCTGTGGCACTTGGGAGCAGCTGTGCAGTGCCTCCCTTTCTCCTCTAGCAGAAGGACAAAGCCCCAGACTTCCCTTGCCAGGAGGCTACAGTCTGTGTAGCACTTTCCCTTTTCCCTCACAGTATTTCAAAAGAAAACCAAATAAATAATTATGATTTTAAAAAAAGAAATTAGAAAGAAGAGCAAAATCCTTTTCCACAGGGCAGGAGGAGCAGTGATGCAGTGTGGTGGCAGGCTGCTGGCCCCAGCTGTGGCACTTGGGAGCAGCTGTGCAGTGCCTCCCTTTCTCCTCTAGCAGAAGCACAAAGCCCCAGACTTCCCTTGCCAGGAGGCTACAGTCTGTGTAGCACTTTCCCTTTTCCCTCACAGTAAATCTTCACCTGAATAATGCAAGCTCTCTGCTTTTATTCATATTCTCCTCATTATAGTCCAATGATCATTTTAGCACTTTGGCCGTGGCACGCCACAGGAGCTCCACGTGTATCTGATTATCCATTATAAAATCAAATCCCTTTCAGTCCCTATTTCCCAGCATGCAGTCTTTTCCATCCTACAAGCATGGCTCACACTGTTCCTCACTGCACAGGCTTCAAAAAAAAAAATTTGTTCCATTTTTTAAAGAAAGATTGCTCTGTCATTCACCAGTTTTATTTATCATTTAATCCTCCACTAGTTTTAGTGGTATAAGAAACCTTCATGAAGAAAATGTCATGTTTTCTTGTCTCATTAGGAGAGATAAGGTGTGAGGGAAATTAACTTCATGAGGACCAAATCCTCACCATGATGGCTCCTTATTCGCAGTTATACTAAAGTATAGTTATATTTTTAATAAAATTCATATGTGTTAGGTTGATTTTCTATTCCTTTATTTTCTTAACAAAATGTCTTCTGGCATGAGTGAGAGCATGTCCTTTAAAAACTTTATTACATCAACAATAATATCCTGATTGAAAAGAACTTGTAATCTTGTCAAAAGATGGGATCAAATTAGTCTGACAAAAATGTAATTTTTGTGAAACTAATGTTGATGGACATTAATTGTGTTTAAGCAACCTCATCTTGATAGGCCTTAATTTCCTGAGTTAGTCCTGTTTTCATTTTTAAATATTGGTAAACTAAATTTTTCCCAACTTGAAAATTCCTGTGTTTCAACCCTGTAATCACCAAAATAAAATGCCTATGAGGGTCTTTTGCTAGTTCTTTTAAAACTATCAGATGAAAGTTAATTAGAGATGCATATTTCAAAATGTCTAACTTAAACAAACTGCTGTATAACTGGTTAGAATTAAAAGGACTGCATCATCATGTCATATGACTCTACCATCTGGCTTTCCCCAAATGCAGACTCCAAGTGACTGAGATTCTGCTTTTCATGGATTCTTGTCAATTCTGCTATCATCATACAGTCACGGAGCGATAATATTATCGGGATTCCCAGTAAAACTGGGAACTCCTTTCTCTGCTTTTCCATTCTTAGATCTGATAACCATACATACTTGTCTCTAACATTTTGATTCCACTATCTACTTCCTAAAATCCAAGAGAATTGTTACAATGATTGTTCCAGCTTTTTTCCCCATGTTTCACTATAGTTTAGAGATGTTTTTCATTTTACTTTGACCCATACTGTTCTTTCCTCAAGTCACTGCAACAACATCATTCTGAAATGTGCAATTTGGGCATCTACTAAAATATTATTCAACAATGGACAATTATCTTTTTCATGTTTCTGTTTACATTTTCTGCAGTTGATTGTCTCAATATTACTTTCAGCTTTATTAAATTGTCCTTTTCAACCCCCTGAGACTATGAATTCTTGGCAGAACTCACAATAAAAATGTAATCCAGATAAAATCAGATTCATCTATTTTTTCAGTTCTGTGATTAACTCTTCACTTCATAAGGTCTTGAATAAAGTTCTGCCCCATTAGAAACAATTCTTGTTTATCTAGGAAATTGTTATATATAAAATTTTAAAAATTCAAACATTGCCTTAAAATAAGCAAGTTTTATCACGTCTTTCGAACGGATGCCAACCCATAAAAATATTTGTTCTTGCTACATATTATAGCTTAATGGTTGCACAGCCAATTTTCTTATTCCCTAGTGTGTTTGTGCATTTCTAGCAGACCAAAGCCAGCAAATTCTCTTGTGCTTTGATCCTACAGAATCCTTCTTGTTTTTTATCCATGGCCTGCAATTTGAACTTGAGCAAGGCCATTTTAAAACAGAATCTCTCTCGCACTGCTGCATTTTTCATTCCATTTTCTCAACATTTTTACAGCCAATAATTTTAACATTATCAACATGGGAATCTTCCTGTTTGTTTTCAGAACATCTAGCTTTATGCTAATTACTGAGAAATTTCCACTGTGTATATAGCACATAATAAATGAAATGCTGTATGTATTAGAATCAAATGAGTTAAAATCAAATAATTCTATGTTATTAAATATTTTTAAATTTCACTGTTATGGTTATATTTCCCATAGACAATGTCAGGTAACTTAAATGAAGCCACTGTGAAATTCCAGGAAAAGCAGATATTCTCTATTTTTTCCCCTACGTTTCATTTTCTTACAATCCTTCTACAGGTTATAATGAGTATGAAGTATGACTGAGTCTAGACAAATGTGTTAAGGCCTTCTATTAGCAAATTTCTTGGTACAGCTGTCATTATTTTTTTAAGTTGCTATGGAGACTTACAAGTTTGAGGCATCGCTGTTTCAATGATTTTCCATAGCAATACTGCTTTGGCTCCAGTACATACCCCAAAACAACCATGAATGTCCTCCAAGATAATTTATGTCCTGTTGAACATATTAAAATATCTATACAATTGCCTAGAATACGGCAGTAGCAATAGGATATGAAAAAAGACTGATCTACTTGCTAAGCCTATTGTTAGGTAGAATGAATTTCATAACTGAGAATTCAGTAAAATATAAGTTAAAAATACATAGCTGGGAGAAAATAGGAAAGGCAGACTATTTTGTCAAAATAATATTTTTAATTTTTCCCTGCATTTTAGACTTTAAACCTTAAGGCCAAATCACCCCTGGTAAGCTTCTGAAAAGAAGTTATTAAACTTTTTCAGGTATATTTTTTCCTATTTATGCTTAAACAGAAATATCTATTTTCCTTTTTAGCTAATTGCTGCATTATGAAATTGTGGAAGTAATAAATTTTAAAATTGTGTAGCTCAATGGCAATAGTGTCAAATGACAAAAATGCTAAACTACCTTTATAAGGACAAAGCATGTAGCTATTATATGGATGAATGAAGACCTCTCACTGCAGACATGTAAAGTACTCAGAACCTGATATGTCTTTCACCAGCTATGCAGAGATACAAGCAGCCAGTAGTAATTCGTTTTACACCAATGGAAGTCACAGGAAGTACAGGAAGTCACTCCAGCCTGGAAGTGAGGAAGACCTCTCCTCTCAGAAGTACTGGGCAGGGCCAAAATACACTGGAAAGTTTACTTCCCACCATTTATTTTCACTGATGCTTCTCTGCCTTTTGTTGCAGCCTCCATCCCTTTGCATGATGAACCCAATACAGCCTTCTAGAGACAAAAAAGGAGAGTAGTTCAAGTGAGAACTAAAAGCAAAGTCAATCAAAGCAAGTTTTGCCAATGCAAGTTCAGACCACTGCTGAGTAATGCAAATAACTGATTCATTAAACAAAATACCACAGAAAAGTTACTTTGGTTGAGAAAGACATAAGGTTCTCCCTCAACCATTCAGCCCCATGATTTCCACACTCCTGGTGAGCAGCTGCAGAGGAGATGCCCTCACACAGACATGCAGCCCTTGAGTGGGGTTCTAAAGGAGCAAGAGCAGCCCTGTTCCCTCTTATTTCTCATCATCACCAACATCCACACACCTGGCCTGACTCCCTGCAGCTCTCACATAACTCAAGGCTACAGCTTTATTTTCTTTTTTAGTAGCTTTTCTTTTTTAATCAGTTTACTGAAGTCTATTAATAAAAAAAAAGTAATAATAGCAATAAGGAAAAAGTAATACTAACAATAAAAATCCCTACTACATTTCTCTTAATAATTTTATTTCACTGTTTGGAAGGAGCACCAGGAGACACCTTCAGTTTTTGAAATGCGTTCTGTATTTTTACTTTCCTAGCATTTCACATTGAGAGATAATTTTGTTTGCAGCTATTTTTGCTTACATTGCTAATATATTTTCTATTCACATACCCCTTTGTAGGCAGATACAGACCGCAGGATGCTCATCTAAGAACTTCTTTGCAATAAAATTGCTGCATGGTGTGTATAACTTTGAGTTTTCACCTCATATTTTTCTGTTGAAAAAAAAAAAACCAAACATTTTTCTTCAAACAGCTTGGACTCTGCATGCTAGAGATACTGGCTTATGGCAAGCCTGCACTGGGCTGCAAGGCTCTGCGTGGGTTTTGAGTTGTGACTAACCAAGAGTGGTCAAACTGCTTCTGTGGACACAGATGTGGAAGTTAATTAAATTCTGCGACAAGGAAGCAGAGCAGCACTTCCATGTATAACCATGTGGAAAAGTCTTATCAGTGTATGACACGTGGCTTAATTTTTTTCTGGAAACAATCTTACATGGAAAACCTCTCTTGCAGTGCAAGACAGAAAAGATACAAGATTTCAACACCTGGTGCATATGGGCACCATAGAGAGTATATACAGGACCAGTACACATTTTTATTTCCTTAGTACAGAGTATGACAACGTAGAGCAGAACATGCAGCAAGTAAGTCAGTGTGCTTTGATACCACAGATCTGGCACTTTTTGGTGTGGAGAATGAAAACAGCCTGTATTTTAAGGTTAAGGGCAGACTTGTGTCCCTAGTCATCTTAGTTGTTTATACATGGACATCAAAATGACCAAACTGTGTCAGACCACATATTAATCTATTCTAGCAGCCTAAAATGGTCCCTTGAAATTCATCAAATCACCCTCTAAAGCTGTGATAATATGGCAAAATTTAGCCTGCGTAAGTAATATTTTATTTTGAATAAAAATAGTCTGTGATACATGACAATAATAGCACAGTTTAAGTCTGAAGTATCTATCCATTCAAACACTATTAAGAAGTGAAGTGAAAAATAGCTTTTGCTATTTTTTCAGCCTCTCAAAAGAAAAGAAAAATCAACATTGTTACAATATGTAAAATGGTAATTTTAAGAATTGAAAATAATTCTAGATTTTTGATGAATTTGTTCCTAGCCCAGGATTATAAAAACCTTGCACTTAAAAAGTGGATTGCATTTGCAGCTGAGAAAAAGCGTTCTTGTCACCATGAAAATCTCTTAGGAGAAATATCCCAGAAAGAGACATATGAACCCTTATTTCTGTCCAGCAGCTAAAACTTGTACTTTGCAAGGAAATTTTTAATAACTCGTGTGACTCTGAATTCATACAAGCAAGTCAGAGGCAGCTGTGAAAAACACTCTCATACAGAGCTGATCTGAGGCCATGAACTGTCATAGACTAATTGCACCCATGTGATTGATCCCTATAGGCACAGATGGACTCTCCCCTCCCAGACACTGATATGTGTCCCCAAAGGAAACAGCCATAAATTGAATGAGATTAATCAGCCTGTGTCACAGAAAGCACAATGAGACTTCCATGCAAAGGGAAATGTGCCTTTAATCCTTCTGAGCCTAGTGTGATTAAGAAGCATGAAGAAATGGCTAAAACTCTGGGGTAATGGTATTTGAGTGAAGGTATCACTCTGCTTTCACACCCTGACTTTTGACTATTTAACTGTGTAATTTTCTGTTTGCATAGTACATTGCAGGAGAACATCTACTGACACTGGCTATCAGCAAGGAATATAGCTAGGAGCAGCGAACAAAAAAATTGTAACTAGCTGCTATGGTTCATTTTGAGTCCATCTACAGAATATGTGGGACCAGATTTCATTACAGTTATCTCAGGAGACACCCAGGAGCCCCCAGGCTTGGAAATGATAGCCGAGCTCTGCCCAGAATGAGGGGGTACCTGTGGGCATTCTGCCTTCTCACAGCTGACCTCCACCGAGAGCAAAGCCCACTGCTGACTGACAGCCAAAATGAGATATCAATCACAACAAATTGTGCATATCCTCAATCCTACCCTTTCTTAAAGAGGAAAAAAAAAAGAACAAAATTAACATGAAATTTCTAAGACTCCACTGAGATGAACAGAATAGTTCCAAGCTCAATAAAATTGTTCAGAAAGTGGCTTGGGATTTTTTGCCATCTGATATCTTCATATTAAAAGAATGGCATCTTCATTTATGTCAATCTTTCGTTCCATTTTGATTTTTCATACAAAAAATCACTTACAGAAAAATCAGTATAAATGGGGGGGTGGGGGGGAACCCACCTAGGCTTCTTTTTCAAAACAGGTTTGATATTATTTTTAAGTAAGCCAGGATAATCTTTTACAATATCTGTCAAAAGAAACTGTAACCAAGTTCTCCTCTATTTCAGAATCTTTACAGAAGAACTAATTCTTTCTGTAATGGCTAGACTTCTAACCATTAGATTCTAGATTCTAGATTCTCTTCACAGGTGAAAAAGATGTTGAAATACGGGCTTATTTAAACTAAAAGTTGTTGGAAAATGCAGACAGGCATCTAATGATATGCCCAATGGCATCCAGATACATAATTCTAAGGACAGGGGTAAGATCCTTTCACTCTGTATTTTAGGTCCAGGTAACACTTCATACTGGACCTGACACAGGGGATCCTGCATTGTGTGAGTATTTCAGATCCTTGTGGTGATGCCATGCACTTTCCAGCATTTATTACTGAGGAGCAAATGGGGAGCCAGAGGCTGCATCTTTTGCAGAATGAGAGGTGAAACCAATCCATCCATTTGTCCCTTGAACCAAGCAGCCACAGCACCTCAGGACAGGCTCTGTCAAACATAGCCGTGAAGCAATTCCTGAAGCTGCAACTCAGTGTTAGCTCTTTTTCTCAAGTAGATGATCCTTAGACTATAAAAACCTATCGTTTCTGCCAACTAACATAGGAAATCCTTTCCTTTAAGTCAGTGGTGTCTGTGCAGTGAAATTGAAAGTCTGGATCCAAACACAGCCGATGACTCACTTGGGAAGTTGCTACAGCCACACATAGCAGCACTCATAATACCAGCCACCTTCTTTCTTTTTGGAAAAAAAACCCCAACACTTTACGTGCAAAAAAGAAAGCAGATTCTCCTTCATTTATGTTACTGAGTTGTATATTCACTGTTGTATTTTTCCTGCATAGTGAACTTTTTAAACTCTGAAGGTGAAAGAGTAAGAAGTCATCCCCACACTCGTGCTCTGAATACATATTCGATTAAGTGCAAATATAATTCTTACAGTGGATGTGCATTTGGTTTGTATTAATTATACCTCTCTACATCTGCCACCCAGTTAGCTCCCAATATAGCCACACAGCTCCAGAAGCTATACACAACCAAAAGGGGAAAATAAATCATCGCTCTAATGAGAGTTCAAACCTCCATTAAAGAATTTGCTGGAAAAAATATGAAAATAATTCAATCTGGAGCAACTCTGCAATAAAAGAGAATATTTCAGTATGTATTGAAACATGACCTAAAAATGCCAGTAAAGCACTCCTTTTTTGTATTATTTGAACTATGAGAAATCTCTGTACTCTCCAGAGCAAAAGTAAGTTTTCACTCCTGGTAAAATCACAGCATGTGGATTTTTCATTGTGCTATATTTTATGTTACTGAAACTCAGATTTTTAAATTGTGTTTCATTTATAAAACATCAGAATCTACTAAAATAATATTCAAAATATCAACATTTTTCCTTTAAGCATGTGACCTCAAGAGCACTAATTAATCAATGTCAATCTCTCTGACCAAGATCTTATCACTTGAGTGTGTGTGTTCTAAGATATTAGTACAGGCTGTTTCTAATCAGCTTGGCTTGAGGAGAATATAGGGATGGAGGAAAAGGGAGGGATTTTCTGTGTAAAAAGACAAAACCTGATAATATGCATCATAAAGCCACATTTTTGCTGTATTTGTGAGCTATTGGCTTGTTCTGAGATTCTGAGTTTACACTGACTGCAAATAAGCACACAACTGCAGAAGCTCCTGTTTTCCAATTGCTATTGCAAGTCAATTGTCCTACATATGTAGGGCAGCCCTGGATGGGAGTGAGATATTTGCATCTCCACTTGTGACTTTCTGAACATTGCATGATGAATGATGGTTTGGGGAATCACTCACAGCTGTTTGCTTGCTGGCTTTTGAAAAGAGAAGGCGTTTGACACTGTTATGTTATCTCTGCAGCATAGCTGCAAAGCAATTCCAAGAAGCAAGATAAATTAACTTTTAAGAGATAGTACATTCTTCTGTGTGACACACAGAAGACAAGTCACATTTCAGCTTTAAATTAGCTTATGAAACCCATCTTTTAATTATAATAAGTAAGATTGTTAACTGCAGAAACACAGCAAATTAGGAGGAGGCTACAATCACTTCTTAATGGTTTATAAAATTGCAAGTATGAGTTCGGCTTTTGGTTGCTTTGTCACATGTGTCACATGTGTGATGTGTCATTTCTGGTCATGCAAAGTAGGAATGAAATACTGAAATCTAACCCTGAACTCAAGAAAAGAAACCATTAGACAAAGTATAATGTGGCTTTACAGTAAACCAAATAATCACATCAAAAATTATCACAGGGCTTATTCTTGCTAAAATAAGTGCTATTGGCTCAACAGCCAATTTCAAATTTCAAATTACTGATATGGCATAAACTTGATAACACTGCAAAAATCCCCCAGTGTTCTGTACAGGATACTAAATTGATTTTATGTTTTCCGTCATTTGTTTAAACAGAGTGGCTTACTTTTGCACAGATAAGCAGCAGTTTCAGGTGAACAAACAGCAACACAACTGAAAGGAGCCTTATTCACAAAGGGGTAGCAGCCAGTACGCACTGGACTAGGTCAATATATCCTTTCCAAGTTACCTTCTTATTCAAAAGAGTTTTGGTTACATCCTGAGATTATCACAAAGGAAAGAGGGATAGATTCCAAAGTCTTTCAGAACATGAGTTTAAGGAACACATACATTGTTTGATGTTCATACAATAAAAACTTGGAGTGCATGACAGAAACTCACTCTCCAAAAAAATCAACACGAGATCTTCAACTATAATGCCAAGAATGTGAAATTCATGCTTTTCTTATGTGTAGTTGCAGCGAGTGTTTCAGCGAACAAAAGCAACTGCCCAGAAGCCAGCTGTGTGCATGTTTTTATCCCTAAAACAGCTGCTGCATTTGACTATGCCACTAAG